CACGACATCTTTAGGATATTCTTGATGTATTTTGAACATTAATTTAACTACGAGATTAAGATTAAGAATGCAACTAGAGAATTTTTCTTATTGAAATGGTAGTTTTTTTTACATAAATGTTAAATTATATATATTTATTAAATGAATAAATATATAGTCTACTGACTGTCTGACATAGATGACACTTTTACAATAGTTTACGTTGTCTACACGTAAACGTACAGTATTATATTTTACGCGTAGATGCACAACCCTGGTATCAATACATTTTATAAATAGGATTCCATAAGAATTCATGCAAAATTAAAAGTTGAATAACTCGTGAACTAGTTAGAGAATCAACTTCAGGTTTTGCACATGTGTTAAGGTAATAAATAGAAACAATTTATTAAATTTTCAAGGTTTTATCAATACTAGAACGTTAGCACCAGAACATCCTTAATGGCATGCGCGTAGCGCGCGCATGTTATGTTCTAGTATGCAATAAAAAGTAGGGGGTTCCATTTAAGAAATTGAAGATAACCTTCACATGACCTTCGAGCAACTATTCAAGGCCACACTAATGGCACCACCTTGTCCCCCTCAAAGCCATACAACTTTTGGCTGAAACATTTTTTTTTAAGATCAAAAATAAAAAAGTTATTTGGAGTGGGACATTAAAATGGGACAACCTGTATATACATATACAGAGTGTTTCAAAACAACCCCTTGTCCTTGTAAAGACGTATTCTTGACTTAAATCTAAGACGATTTTTTTTATTACAAAAATTTTGTCCGAAGCTTAGCTAGTTTTCAAATTATAACGAGAAATAGCGAATTACGGGCCGCGTACGGAAGGTAAACAGGGGCGGCACAACTTATTGTCCGCCGACAGGCGATACGCGGGACCGTCACGACAATCAGCTAACTACGCGCGCATATTAACATGCGTTTACATTCTTCCTCTCCCTCTTTTCACACACACACACACACACACACACACACACACACGCGCACGCACGCACGCACACACGCACACGCACACAAAGTTACAGAATTTTACAACTTAACTAAAGTAATTTTCAATTCTTTTGTTTTTGCAGGGGGATTTAACTGAAGAAGCAGATAGTAATCTTTATATAAATCCTTTGGAAACAACGGAGAAATGCAGAACTAGTCAGATGAAAAAATCTATTTCTGGCGAGGTCGGCCGAAGCATCATCATTGATACATCACCTACTGAATCAATAAAAGAGGCCAATAAAACCAACTTGAATGATATGATACCCAAACATAGAAAAATTAGAATCCAACAAGTAAGTCCTTTAGAAATGAAACTAATATAAAAGGAACAAAGTTATATTGACAATTTTTGAATTATATTGAATGAAAACATTTGGCATCGCCATCTGTTTTTTACATAAAAATTTTTTTTCTTTTTTAATCTCATTTTGTACTTATTTCTTTAATTCTTTGTGATAATGCTTGAGTTGAGTATGGTAACGCAATTTTGTAATATTTAAAAAAATTAAATAGATATTACCACTTCAGTTGAAATAGGAAAAATTGAATAGGTTCAAAAATTACATATCACTTGGATTGACAAAGATAACATATTTGCGAAAAATTGAAGTTATTATCAGTTGGGTTAGAATAAAAAGACCATTCAATGGAAATACAAAGAAACATACCATTTAGAATGTATTTTCTTAAAATATTGATTTTTGTAAGATTTTTTTTATAAGATTGTAATTTGGGGTTAATTATTGATATAAAATCTTTTATATAAATGATATGTTTTTTTTACAAAGATACATACCACTTAGATATCATTTTTTAAAAATTTTTACTTTTATAAAGTCTTTTTTATATTGTTACACTCGCGCACGGATATCTCGCGTCCGCGAACTCTCTTGCGCGCGTCCGACAGTTGCGCAGTTTCGTTTCCGCTCGTAACGGTCTCGCACGCTTCCGCACTCGCAGAATAAGTACACGGAAGAAGAATTGAACGAGAACTTTATTAATTAATGCAAACGTAAAGCTCAAGCTGTCAAACGTAAAGCGTAAACCAAAACCAAACGCCAGCCGGCAGGAACGATCTTCAACTTCTTTTGGGAAATCAATATATTGATTTCCCTGTTAGCCGTGCAATACCGGGAGCGCACACAACAATATATATAATATATAATTTCTAAACTGGCCTCCTGTGATTTTTATTAATTGCAGGATTAATATTTATACGACTATTGTCGCGTATCATTAAATATTAATATATAATATATACATTATATATCACACACTTATTAATACGTATTTATATGTATATATGAATTAAAGTATGTATATATTGTAATCTTTTTATAATATATACATACTGTAGTAATCACACGCGTGTATATGTTCCGATCTATGTAATAACTAAATTGTAGTACCGCCGTGTAATGTGTTGCTACTGTAATAAGTTGGCCACCGTAATATTCGTATTACAATAACTACACGCGTGTAATCCGTCGAATGTAATATTTTCGTGAGGGATTACAATAACTATATGAATTACAATCCCTAGCCCGTGCGTCTTTTTCGTAAGGGAATGGATGGAGGGAAGGAGTAAAAACGATAATTGGGGGGGATTTTAATGCGAGGACAGGGGAGGAGGGGGAATGTGTAGTTGGGGAAGATGAAGAGGAAGAAGTGGCAGGAAGAAGGTCAAGGGATAAGAAAATAAATAAAGAGGGTAGAATGCTGATAAAGTATATTAGGGAGAGGGGATGGGCAATATTAAATGGAGGGGTGAGTGGGGATGAGGAAAGAAGTTGGACGTACACGGGCGGGAGAGAGAAACCGGTTATCGAATATGTGTTGGTGGAGGAAGGGATAAGGGAGGAAATAGAAAGGTTGGAAGTGGGAGATCTGGTGGATTCGGATCACCACCCTGTAGTATGGATGAAAAGTGGTGGTATGGATGAAGAGGGGAGGAAAGGAAAGAAAGGAGAGGTAGGGGGATGCAGAGGGGGGTATGGGACGTGGAGGAAAGGAAAAGATTTAATCTGGGATTAGAAGGGAGGTGGGAGAAGCAGGGGGATGTACAGAAAGGGGTGAGAGAAATGGGATTAAGAATAAAGAATATGATAGAAAGGATGGAAGGAGAAAGGAAAGGAAAAAAGAGGAAATGGGGAAGGAGTTGGTGGGATGGGGATTCTAGGGAAAAGAAAAGAATAGTAAGGAAGACGTTGAGAAGGTGGAGAAGGGAGGCGGGTGAAGGGCGGAAGTACAGGAAAGAAAAAAAGAGTATAAGAAATTGTGTGAACCGAAGAGATGGGAAAAGAATGAGAGATGGGAAAGGGAGGTCGAAGAGGCCAAAACGGAGGGACAGGTATGGAGAATTGTGGGTAGAGAAAGAAAGAGTAGAGGAAGATAGGAATAAATGAGAATATAAGGATAGTAGATTGGAAGAAATACTTTAGAAGGGTGTTAGGGGGAGTGGTAGGGTAGTGAAGGGAAGGAAAGAACAGGAAGTGAGGTGGAAGAAAGTGAGTTGGGGAAGGATGAATTTAGTAGAGTATTGGAGAAAATAAGAGGCGGGAAGACAATGGGAGTAGATAAGATACCAGGTGAGGCCTGGAAATATGGAGGGGAAGAAGGCGGAGGATTGGGTGAGATGGTTATGTAATAAGATATGGAATGGTGAGGAATGGCCAGAAGGATGGAAGGAGGGGGTTGTGGTGCCGATTGTGAAGAAGGGACGGGGGAAGAGTACAGGGGATTACAGAGGAGTGACAGTAATGCCGTCTTTGTATAAAGTATATACTGCGGCGCTAACGGAAAGATTAAGGGAGGAGATGGAAGAGAAAGGGCTAATTCCACCAAATCAAACGGGGTTTAGGAAGAGTACGGGCACAGTGGATAATATTTTTGATGGGATACGGGGTTGAAATATGGGAGTGGAAAGAAAGGGAGGGGGTGGAAAGGTTACACGATAGGTTTCTGAGATGGATATTGGGAGTTGAGAGTAGGACGCCGGGGTATTTGATAAGA